CATTGGTGTCTTATCTCAAGCAGCATTGTCCATCAAATCTTTATTGGTGAGGCAAAAGATGATGACATATATGTTCAAAGTCTCACTAGAGTATAGCCTAAAGCAAGCCTGCCTACAGCTATCTGATTGAGGAGGGTGTAGACTCTGAGTTGGATGCTTCTTTGCAGATAATTTAGTTGTAAATAATTTCTGTCCTATTAGAAAAGAAAACCACAAATGTTATAGTTTTATTGCCCTTTAGGGCATTAACCATTTTTGTGTCTACTTTGCTATCTTATTCCAACCTTCTTTTCCCCACTGACTGTGCATATCAATTTCTCATATCCTCTTTTGTTTTGAGATGGAGTCTTACTCTGTCGCCCAGGAGTGGAGTGGTACGATCTTGGCTCCCTGCAACCTCCACCTCCCAGGTTCAAGCAATTCTCCTGCCTCAGCTCCCGAGTAGCTGGGATTACAGGCGCCCACCACCACACGTGGTTAATTTTTGTGTTTTTAGTAGAGATGGGGTTGAGAGATGGGGTTCGAGACCATGTTGGCCAGGCTGGTCTCAAACTCCTGACCTCAGGCGACCTGCTTCAGCCTCCTAAAGTGCTGGGATTACAGGTGTGAGCCACCGCTCCTGGCCTCTCATATCCTCATATGAATGAGCTTTGTCATCTTGCTGGTTCCCTCATTAATCAGTTAATAACATTTGACACATGTTTTTTAAAAAACTAAATTCATTATGTATTTCTTTGTTAAAAAAAAAAAAAGTATCCTAAAATTTAGTGGCTTAAAACAACACCCACGATCTCCCAGAGTTTCATTGGGTCAGAACTCTGGTAGTGACTTGGTTGGGTGGTTCTGTCTTGGGATCCCTCCCAGAGAAATATACACTGGATTTGGCAACAAGAAAGTGGCTTTAATAACCCTGGAGAGGCCGGTTTTGATGAAGTGGTGGGGCTGGGACACAGAATATTTGCAGCTTCTGCCAGAGTTTAGATTGGATCCAAAAAATGTAAAGCCAGGGTGGGTCTGGTTAGAAGGACCATGTGACTGAGAAATTACAGGGCATATTTTGAAAGACAATCCCAATGAAGTCACATTTTGTGTCTTTATAATGGGTTTCCTCTTTCCCCACTCTGAACATGCTGGGGCTAATTCTGAGTTCTGTCAGTCATGCATTAGAAAAGAAGACAACTGCTAAGGGAGTTTATTCATCTTTGTTCCTCTCACAGCAAGAAGCAAGTTTGTTTAAAATCTTTTAACAAGGTCCTGCCGTGGTGGCTCACACCTGTAATCCAGCACTTTGGGAGGCCGAGGCAGGAGTATCACCTGAGGTCAGGAGTTCAAGACCACTTTGGCCAATGTAGTAAAAGCCCATCTCTACAAAAACAGAAAAATTAGCTGGACATTGTGGCAGGCACCTGTAATCCTAGCTACTCAGGAGGCTGACACAAGAGAATTGTGTGAACCAGGGAGGTGAAGGTTGCAGTGAGCTGAGATCGCACCATTGTACTCCAGCCTGGGAGACAGAGTGAGACTCCATCTCAAAAAAATATATATATTTTTTAACAAAAGATCTCTTTGGCTCTGCACAAGCCATCACATCAGTAGATTTCTCTTGCTATCTTCCCAGATGGTTCAGAACCTCCTATTTCTCTGTTATGAATCCCAACTTCCCAACCTCCTTGGATAGGAAAGGTCTGGGAGGTCATTCTGTCTCCATGAACTCTGGGCCTATGGTAAGTGTGTCTAATATGATTGAGGGGCCAGCAGGCTCTTGTTCTAAAGATATCACCTAACCTTTAACCTTAGAAAAAAGCAGTGGCTCACTCCTGTAATCCTAGCACTTTGAGAGGCTGAGGCAGGAGGATCACCTGAGGTCAGGAGTTTGAGACCAGCCTGGCCAACATGGTGAAACCCCATCTCTACTAAAGATACAAAAATTAGCCAGTAATGGTGGTGCATGCCTGTAATCCCAGCGGCTCGGGAGACTGAGGCAGGAGAATGGCTTGAACTCGGGAGGCAGAGGTTGCAGTGGGCCGAGACAGTGCCACTGCACTTCAGCCTAGGTGACAGAGCGAGACTCAGTCTCAGAAAAACAGAAAGGAAAAAAGAAAAAGAAAACCAAGGGAAGCATCATCCCCCAGTCACCTCCAGCAGGCAGCTAGTTCACCACAACCCCTCTGTGGGAACCTTTCTAGTGACATCCAGCAAGGCTGTGCCCCAGGCTCTAGTGCAGGCTGTGGCCAACTTGGTTTTACCAAAGGACTCACCAAGCCAGTGCTTCTCAAACTCGACTGAAGCAGATTTGACCCAGCAGGTCAGGGTGAGACCTGGGGCTCTGCATTTCTGGCAAGCACTCCGGGGTTGCTGATGCTGCTTGCTTTGTGAGCAAGGCTCTAGGCAATGTCACCTACATCCGGGTATAACTAGACCACCCCAGAGGGACACAAAAAGAAATCCAGACATTCTAGGATCCAGGCGTTTCCAAGAGTCTTGGCTTTGCTCTTATTCTGATACCTATAGTTGTTTCGTTTTTCAATCCAAAACAGTTTTAAAGGCAAATAAACAAGCAGAGAAAGCACCTTTGGTCTTGACCCAGATAAGAAAAATGGCGTGCGCCTCTCACTCAGGGGACAATCCAGAGACTCAATTGCGTCCTAAGAGTTTGACCCACGAGACGGCGGCATGCACATTGGGGGCGCGCTCTACAGGGCAGGGGCCTGCATTCTGCGGTATCCTTAATCCCTAGAACAGGGTCCATCACGTAGCACTCCTGGCCCGCGGGGTCAGGCCCGCACAGAGGGTCTCAGGAAGCTCCTTCAAGGCCAGCACGGAGGGGTTCTGTTGTCGCCCCCCAGGCTCCGGGAAAACCACGCTGCTGGACGCCATGTCCGGGAGGCTGCGGCGCACGGGGACCTTCCTGGGGGAGGTGTATGTGAACGGCCAGGAGCTGCGCCGGGACCAGTTCCAGGACTGCTTCTCCTACGTCCTGCAGGTGGGCGCGTCTCCCACACTCCCGGCCCCCTGCCCGCCCCCGGGCCTTGGGCGACGCTGACGCCCGCGTCTCCTGCAGAGTGACACCCTGCTGAGCAGCCTCACCGTGCGCGAGACGCTGCGCTACACAGCGCTGCTGGCCATCCGCCGCGGCAGCCCAGGCTTCTTCCGGAAGAAGGTGGGTGCAGCCCTCTGCTTACAGCGGGCAAGCCGAGTGCCTTTGCATCCCCGCTGCCCTCGTCTCTTTGCCTACGCTTACCCATTCCTCCCCTGTGCTCGTCACCCCTTCACTCTAGAGCGTGCCCTGCATCCTGCACCGTTCACCCTGCGCTGCCGGAGAGAGCAGCCCCTTGTCACATGTTCCTTTGGAACACTTGAAATGTGACTAGTCCAAAGACTGACACGTGCTCTGAGTGTAAAACAGGTATCAGATTTTAGACTCTGAGTCTGAAAAAACAGAATGTGAAAAAGCCCATTAAGAATTTTTAGGTTGGGCAGGGTGGCTCAGGCCTGTAATCCTAGCACTTTGGGAGGCCAAGACGGGAGGAGATTGCTTGAGTCTAGAAGTTTGAGACCAACCTGGGCAACATAGTGAGACTCAGTCTCTACAAAAAATACAAAAATTAGTCAGGTGTGGTAGGGTGCACCTGCAATCCCAACTGCTCAGGAGGCTGAGACAGGAGGATCTCTTGAACCCAGTAGGTGGAGGCTGCAGCAAACCATTGCCCTTCAGCCTGAAGGATAGCCTGTATCCCCCAACCAAATAAATAAATATATATAAAAATAAATTAAAATTCAAAAAGTATCGATTACAGGTTGAAATAGTATTTTGTCTGTAAATAATATCATGTTAATTTCACTTTTTACTTTTTAAAATATGGCTACTAAAATATTTCACTTCTGTCTGTGGCTTACATTACCATTCTCTGGGACCATGCTGTTCTACAAGCTCCCTGTTTAAATAGATACTTTTGCCACTGATTTTTCTCAGCTGACTTGGAGGTGTCTTGAATGTGCCTCATCCAAACTGGACTGTGTTAATGAAGGAAGAAACGATTGAATTGTCAACTCCTTCTAGGTTCCAATCTCTTTCTTAAATGTATCCAGTTTGGAAGTAGCCACAGGTAAACCCACCTGGAACCATACCTGGAAACTGTTTCATTTCCCTCTAGTCTGAGAAGGCCCACAAGCACCCAGGGAACCAATGACAGTTGGACATGCCTCCTTCAAGTGGCACAGCTCCATGGAAGCAGAACTCCTGATAGTAGAGTTCTCTCCAATTGAGAGTCCTTTCTGAGCAAATCCAGTCCGCAGGGTGTGAAATCCTGACAAGCAATTCAGTGGGAAGGAAGTGCTGATGATAACAAAGGAGAGAGCATGGCAGATCTGCTCCTGTCCTTGGAAGAACCTGGAAATAAAGCATGGCCAGTGTGAGCAGGCTGTGTCTGGGGGGCTGTTGGCTAAGGCTCAGGCTTCCCAGACCACCTGAGAGAGCACAAACAGTCCTCTCAATCCTGGCCCTGCCATTTGCTAATGGCATGATCTTGGGCAAGTTATAGATCGTTCTGTTTTCTCCTCTATAAAAAATACAATAAGAATGCATTTCTCCTGGGGTCAATGTGAGGAATACATCAGATTATGTGAAAGCACAGAGCATGGAGGGTGGGACTTGATTATCTCAATGGTCCTTACAAGGACTCTGAGTTCTATTTCCAATAGTGTTTCCAAAATATGGGAGAGCATTCCTGCTGGGGCGTGAAACCTCTGAGACAAATTAAGTAAATGTCTTCTCCGTCCATCCCTTCTAAACCAGGAGGGGCAAGCTTACTCCTTATGATGTTACAGAGATGAGAAGGAGGCTCGGGAATCTACACTGGCTGGTGAGCACAGAAATCTCATTGCGTCAAGCAAAGTTTAATTCTAGGATCTTTCTACCCTGATGGCAAGAAAAGACCTTTCTTTTTTTTCCAGAATATATCATGCTAGTTTACTTATGCATTTTTATCTTCTCATTATTCCTTTGTGCCTATTTCAGATATGTCCATTATTTGGGTGAGTCAAAGCCTCATCTGTGCCATCCAGCCCTTCCCCTGACTCCTCTGGAATTTTGGTCCACAAGTCATCCTTTCTTCTTCTGAAGTCGAGCTTATTGTTTTGTAATGCAATGGTTTTGTTTCCATTTTCATAACACAGCCTTATTAGGGATGTCTGGAAACAAAACTCATATCCACATGAGTATCTTCTGTTTCTTTCTGCTTTCCCCAGGCTTTCTGCATATAGAGGTAATCAGTACAGGAGGACAGAAATAGATTTGTAAACAGGTCTCTGGAGAGGAGATAAGCTGAGGAAGGAAAGACAGAGACGGAGGAAGAAAGTCAAGCTTCTTGATTAGAAAGTCAGTAAGGCATTTTTTTTAGTTACTGTTTTGGGGGAGTTGAGAATGAGGAGGAAGAAGGGTTTCAGGGAGCTGCAGGGTTTAAGTAGAGCGAAGAGAATTGGAGGAAAGGGAATTTTAAGTGTGGCTGTGTTATAAATTGGGTCCCTCTTAAAGTCCTTAAAGAAATTCAAGTAAAGATTGGAATTATTTTTAATTACTTTTGAAGGCCAGATTATATGTCTCTGATGCAAAACCCCATTGAGATTGCACCACATAGGACCCTGGCACTTACCTGGGTTATATAGTAGAAAACAGGTTTAGTTCAAATCAACTTGGGTTTTTTAAACATATAAAACATATATTATAATAAAGTTTCAAAACCCAAACACTTATAAAAGTAAGCGATATTGTAATCATAACTTTGGGGGATTTTTCTGTATGGGCTGGAGTGACTGAGGCTCCTACAAATGGGAATTTAAGGACGTATCTGTTGTTTCCTGGTTAATTTTCCTGAAGCAAGTATAGCAGTTTTTGTTCTAGGGAATCTTATTTATTTATTTATTTATTTAGAGACAGAGTCTTGCTCTGTCGCCTAGGCTGGAGTGCAGTGGCACAATCTCAGCTCACTGCAACCTGTCTCCTGGGTTCAAGCAATTTTCCTGCCTCAGACTCCCAAGTAGCTGGGATACCAGTGCCCGCCACCATACCCAGCTAATTTCTGTATTTTTAGTACAGACAGGGTTTCACCATGTTGGCCAGGCTAGTCTTGAACTCCTGACCTCAAGTGAATCACCCACCTTGACCTCCCAAAGTGCTGGCATTACAGGCGTAAGCCACCATGCCCAGCCCACTTTTATTATTTTTTTTTTTTT